GCTACCAATTGTCTTGATTCTTGGTAATACTCAGAACTTAATGCAGCAAACATTCAAATTCGCGTGTTTAATGGCAGGGTTTGAACCCGAAACTAAAGGTATAGGCTCGCATGTTTCGTTTTAACTAGTTTTTGCTGCGCACGATACCGCGTGCGTCACATGGTTACTGACAAATAGGCTACCCAAATAGCGATGGTACTCAATCATCCAGTGATGGGTACTGCTCCCGATTCGGCTTTCTTCTCGAAACATGTTAATTTACCGGTAACCCTACGACTGTGGAATTGCATCTCTGTGATCGTATCCACTCAACAATGCAATTTATCACCCATTTTGAGCGCTTGCTTAAAAACTTTCAAGAATCCATATTTTCAATCGATGTCGATCGAAAGCGCATGGTCCTTCCGAACTTCAACTTTCGCGACCTTAAAGCACTCCCCAGCAGAGGGCACGCCTAAGAATCTATCCAGTGGGTGGATTGGAGTAGCTCACTAGTATCAAACAAGGGTCTCACAAAGTGAACTTATGGGACTGTTCTTACGTCTTAACGGGTTACGTCGACATCGACGTCCATGACACGCAACGCGGATTACGGCGTAGCGGCTAATCAGATAGCACGAGTTAGTTCAGCCGTAGGAGCAGGCGAATTCGTGTAACTCGTCCGGCTCCGCCCCTTCCTGATTTCCAAGGGGTCCTTTTCAGGGCTTCATTGACAGTTTTTTTGTTGCTTTTTTCTTTATAAGTCAACTCTGCATCCATGCATGCACAACTCCATTATCGACTGCTGTGACCCCACAAATTTGATGAGGGGGTGTTGCTTCGAGGTAAATTCCCCGATTTCCAGGTCTCGGAACCGAATTGTAAATCCAGTGAAAAACCCCGCCCGTTAAGGCGCACACCACCAACAGCATCTACCTTCCTATCCTCCGCCCGCCTACATTTTTTACTCTCGAGCTGCTGGTTTTTTGAAATTCGTTGAAACGGAAACGAGATTAAGTGCTATTGGACGGGCGTGTACCGATGTGGGCGGATTCGACCACAAAACATTATGGCTTGGTTTTGAGACTCTTGGAAATTGGTAATATCGGTACTGATGCAAAAAATTTCACTTGCCCTGTCCAGCATCGATGAAACGCATTGGTTTTTGCAACACTCTTGCATTCGTTTCAAAAGGCAAGCCAGAAACTGCCCTGTTTATCTGCTAGCAGTGCTATCAACGGAAATGTGGAAATTTCTCTCAAAATTCTATTAATTTGCTATCACATGAACAAACTCTTTTGAACAAGCGAGGAAAACAAGTGATGTGCTGCAAGAGCATGGGTAACAACTGTTCGGAATTGAGGCGAGAAGTTGTGGGATTGGTGTTAGCTGTTCTGCGTTTTGCATTGTATGGTTCAAAAGACTCTTGAGGGCATACCTAGTAGAGCACGAGCCGTTCTGTACAGGGCAGACAAGGATCACGGGAAACTCCGCCTACTGTGGGCGTGGCACTCTAAAATGGGCGATTTTGGCGACAAAGTTGTCCAATTCGGTTTTAGGACATGCCATTTGTAAATGGAGGTTTTGACTCAATCTATACTCTGGATGAGGAGAGCTTCCTATGTATTTTTATTGTGAAATCGCATCGAATGTATTGGGTTGATGCATAATTATTGCGGATTTTTTCAACAAATTTTATTCAGCGAAAACGATAAAATTATTCAACAAAACATGTTTAAATGATTATTCCGGAGCGTAGTCACCATCTTCAAGAATGCTTCCCATTTGCTTGTCGGTCGATTCCACGGTGAAGAATCACGATTCTTGGAGACGATCCACGCTCTAATATCGGCCACCAAGTCATCCAGCTCGTCGTAAATTTTGTTCG